ACTAAGAAAGATAAAAGCCATATACGTTAAGGCGCTCTTGTACCCTCATAAGATAATTGACAGTTTTCTAAACCACACAGACTGTGGAGGCTTTAGATGGTTAAAACGGATGTCATGACTGCCCACCAGACACACAGTAGTCAGCATATCAACCGCGAAGACGGACTCCGCCTATTCAGTTAGTTTAACGTTATCGGCAGCATCCATGGGTGACGGATAGTGAGACAGCGTTCAGTGACGGTTAGCCATTAAAAAGTAACTGGGTAAGCTAATGAATCGTAGTGGTAACGCTAGCAGATGATTAGGTATGACGACCGGGACTGTGATATGGCAAGCACGAAACGCCATTCCACTCGCTACTGCCTTATAGGCTGGGCTTCTGTGCAGCGTAAAAGCTCACGACTAGAGAACCTGACTTAAACTGGCCTCCTGACTTTCCGTCTTATGCAACATCCTCGATCGCAAATCAACATTGGGCAGGACTGTAAGTACACAAGCTCACTCTTCACGTCGAAAAGCTGTACGATGTGAATGCTAGCGCAGTACGATTTGGATGTCAGCTCTCTTTTATGAGTAAATTTTCTCGGTCAGAGCTCAAGCAACACTATGATGCATGGAGCCTAAAAACGCCTAGACGTAGGGACGGGGCAAAGTGCTTGGCAGGATTAAACGGTTGGTTTATATATAAAATCGTAGTTGTATAGTAGTAGCAGTGCAACAGCGTTATATTTCCGGTAGAGTTACTATCTCAGGAAACGCTAATCGAGATCCTGGAATGTGTTCGAGTCGTAAAGACTACGAAGGTGGGAGTGTGATGTTAATTATAATGCAGCAGAATTCAAAAACAATTCATCCACTTCGGGCTGGCGGTATTTGGAGTAGCTCCTGTCCGGTCCCCTGGAAAAACCACGCTCCGTATAGTGACTACATTGCCCTGGCTTTAGGAAGGGGCGGCACTCGACCGGAGTACAACAAGCGAAAATCCTACGCCTCAGCTAGTTATAGTCCACCAAAGCCTGATAGACGAGGCTGAAACTCCTTAGACCGAATTTAAACCTGTTCCTTTGATTATTGGATGCAATATTTGCGTCTCGCACAACTCTATTATTAATTTCTTCGTTTGGGCAGCTGTCTATGGGGAAGCAATTAAATTGTCTAGACTGATAAGGTCAACCAATATGAAAGTTAAATCCAGCTCTGTATATTCATCGTCGGGAACTAATCTGCTTAAGATAGAGGCAAAGGACTCCCCTTGATATGCTCTAAAACAAACTATCGGGACAACAAGTATAATCGAATTCCTTTGCGAGATGTTATAAATGAGGACGACAGCTAAACGACGAAGGAATCGTTTTAGAGGTAGTTGTAACTATGTTGCCCAGGAGCCGATAAAAACTATTCGGTGTCATCAGCAGGTAACGTGTGAATGCTCGGAAGAGTGGCTTTGCGTATAGAAATGTGTCTACTACAGATATAAGTGCCGACGCACTAGCTTACTAGACTTGCGATCGTCTAACACACCATAAGCCTTAGTCTTTTGGTCAACTTGTACGACGAAGTGGGAAAGCTACTTTTTGCACTGATGCCGGGCAGGGAGATTCACCTCTCGGCGTCATTGAAAAATCTAACCAGAGCGCCCAGAGGGCAGCATTGCGGTCATAAAAAGTATGTTGTTGTGGCTATTATGACAGTGGGCATGGAGTGACGCCCACCGGTTACGGGCATGAAAATAGAGTCTTCCAATCCAATAGCATGAAAACACGGGCACCAGCCTGTTATGAATATAGAGGAATCGAGGCGTGACGTCTAACTTTATGAGGGCATTATTGAAGACTGCACAAGTCTGTTTGACTCCCATACCCAAGAGGAGACAGAAGAGTAACCGGAAATATATAAAAAAACACAACAGGTTCTTGGAGTAAACTTATTAATGCAAAGGAAAGCGAACAGACGCAGCCGCTTTACCGCTGATCTGCCACAAAACAGCCTTAGTAATCGGCATAACAAACGTCTATCGGGAGGGGCAATGCGGGGAGAAACCTGCTGAGATAGGGCTTAGAGAGAACAAAATTACGGTGCATACTAGCATTGTTTTTACCAGATAAGTAGACTTGAAACGCGAATACAGCACTGGTGAAAATAAACTGATGCTGAAAATGGCACAAAAGCAACGGTGGCATGTGAATATTACTTGTGCAACTGATGATAAAAATAGACTAGTCTAGAATAAAGCAAAAGTAAACGTTATTAGTGCGCAGAGTGAGTGAGGTGTGGACAGAGATCACATTGTACCTGTTATGGTGAAAGGGAGGTGGGGATGATAGAAAAATATTTCAAGGAAAGTATGCCGCAGCAAAAGGGACGGAGATCACAATCTTGTTTCCGGTGCTTCAGACTGCAAACTGGAGGGTGGATTGCACGTTGATTTTTTTGAGGAAAAGGCAGAAGGAGAGACAGGCCTTCGAAACGCATCTCATGCTCAACTAGTACTTCACAGCGGCAAGGAACCCGCAAAAGCAAGTGGGCCGTTGTTTTCGAAGCATGCTGATGCCTTACAATCCACGAGTTTTTGTAGCACTGAAAGTGACACTGGTGACAGTAGCTCAGAACTGGCATAGTTAATGCGCGCGCGCGCGCGCGCGCACGCACGCAAAGCTCAACAGGCGCGAGAGGCATCAGAAAGCAAGCAGGACAAAAAAGAGGAAGAGAGAAAAGGTCGGAAAAGGACTCGAAAGATGGAGACATGTTGTCTGAAGAAAGAGACGGAAAGGTGGACGGTGAGAGAGAGTGAGAGGAAGGGGACTAAAATGCTGTTACAAACCGAAGCTGTAAAACCGATAAAAAATAACCAAGAGTGACTAAAACAAACTCACAAATGACAACGGATACAAAGAAGCTCATTAAAAATCTATGAAAATAAGTCCTTTCAAAAACGCATGCAGATAAGCACCAACATAGCAAAATTAGACCGGTTCTAAGCCCGTAACGCGGGATGATTCTTAGGAATCACGCCGTAGCAATGCCGATGGATTGAGAAAAGTAACAAAAAATAAAGCAAGTACAGCAACCCACCCAAGCCCAAACACGCATACTAGCTGCTACAAGCCACTGGAGCAGGTGCGGCTGGAGCAATTTGGGCAATATACAGTCACGTGAAGGAAGACGTATTTTTTAGAAAAAAACCTCCGAGGTTGCCGTTCGCAGAGCGATCAGATTGTGTGCAGGAAGCTTCACTTTCCCTTGAAATTCTGGGAACTGCCGAGTGCGCGGGTGCAGAAAAACGTAGACCGGTGGAAAAAAAGGAAAGTGAGGGGGTTTGGAAGTCGGGACTGAAGTGTTCCATACCAAATAAATGTCCAGAAGAGGAGGGGGACAGAGTGCGGTCACGTGTGCGTGTCGTGCGTGCATACAAAAGCGAAATATTAGCAAAAGGAAACAAAATAGAATGAAAAGGCTGATATATAAAACTGAGCAACTATAGCGTGCAGGCAAGTAACCAACGGATGAGGTGGACAGTTTCGAAGAAAACACTCACTGGCAGTCGACTGAAAATTGTGATTGTCACAGACGGAGGGTAAGGCAGCCGATTTACTTGAACAAGAGTTGGCAACTCTCGGACATACGCAGTTGAACGCGGCCCACAGTAGTGCATAAGAGAGGCTGGCAGACCTTGGTCTCTTCAGCGTATTCGCGTGAGGAGCATAATCGTCGTACGCGGCGTGCGAGACAATAAGTGGGGAGGTCGCAGCTTTAGCAGCAAGGATAGACGTGACATTGCCATCACCAGCATTAGCAACAGGTAGTTCGACAGGGTTTAACACTCATAAAGACTACAAGGCTGGAGTCGGAAACACACGTAAGGGCTGTGGATGCGGGGTGAGCTGTACAGAAGGTGAATCAAGAACTTGAACGGAAGTGTATGAGGACAACAGAAAATAGAAAATCTCGATACTGACGATTGGCAGTGAGGATGCAACAATCGTGTATGCCAGCTCCTCGAGGAGAAACGAAGCTAGAAAACTATGGTACATAAACGCTTGGAACTGAGACAAAATTAACACAAGCCGTATTGTTATTGGAAGAGGGGACAAAGTTACAAACTGGAAGGATTGCTCGGTAGGACATGCTGGGTAAATTAAAATATTCGGATATAAAGAAACGAATAAAAAGCTCACATAACCGAAAACATGCAAAAGACGTAACAAAAAATAGATATCCAAAATCCAATCAATTACAGAAGGGGTGGGAGTGTAACTCAAAAATGCGTAAGCCAGGGATAAAAACTACCGAATATTCTCGTTATGCGCGAGTTAAGTTTTTATATCCGAAGCTGGTTGGTGAGATGCATGAATACTGTGCGATGAGGGGTAAAGATAAGGAGAGGGGGGATGGGTGGGAGTAACGAAAGAGATTGATCACAAGTGATGCTATTGGACGCTGAAGCCG